TGTCCTTTTACTTCTAAAAATGTAATTCCTTATAGGTACATATTCAAAAAGCTACTTACAATTTGTCTTTAACAAGTAACAACACAATAGTCAATAAGTAAACATGATTATACATGAACAAATATCTATACCTTATGATGATAAAATAATGATATAATGCGGGAAACTTTCCACTGATAGAACCCTTATTCAGAAACAATTAATTATATTTTAATCAAATATTTGAATTATTAGTTTAAGGGACTTCAATACTAATACATATTGAGACAACGAAGAGTATAATAGTCAAGGAGTGTGATTGAGAATATATGCGAATAACTAAAAGATTTTGATGGTAGTTAAAAAGTGTGGTAGTTTTTGTCTAGTTAGGTACTTTTTTAACAGCTTCTATTTTCAAATCTAATAAAAAACTAAAATAAGTACAAAAAATAGTAAAATATGAGCTATTTACTTTAGTTGATATTACGAAAGTCATAAATACAAATTGAACACATAATGGTTCTCCTATGATTATCATTATAAGCATTAATTGGATATAATTAAGTTTATAATATAAACTCACACGAAAATGTTGTTAGGTCTTGACTTCATTAATTCAGGAGAAAATATAAAATACCCAACAACACCTAGTGCGAACGCCTCTATTATTTTCAGGAAAAACGCCAATCTCAGCACTGCACCGCTGAACCGTTGCCACTTCCATGAACTCAACTCTAGACAACCCATGATCAAAATCACAGATTGGGCAATTTCACTGTATTAATAAAATAAAATAAATAAAACAAACATGAATTCAATAACATTATAATAGTTCAAAAAAATAATAGGGTTAAATTTAAACAACATTTAAAATGTTCAACATTATAAGATTGTTTTATACTTTTATAGCCTAAAAATATTAATATTGCAGTGTGCGAGAGTCTTGTATTAAATACCTTTAAATGTAGCTGTTATATAAAACTGTGATACATTAATATTTGTATTATAAATGCGATGACTAATTTTTATTAAAACTTAAAAATACAGTCAAGAATAGTGGTCAATACAATATTGATCATATGCATTTTTATTTATATTATTTTAAGGTTTTAAATTTTTAAAAATAACATCATGAAACATATGGTACATATATTTTGGTTTAGTATATTGTCAAAGACGTTATGCACCGATGAAATAAATAGATGCTCAATAAAGAATTTGTAATAAAAACATTACGATGGCTTAAAAGTTAATAACTATATTTTGTAGTTTGAAACAGTCTAAAAAAATGATTACAATAATTATTACTGAGTGAATTATTAATTAATATTGAGTTAATCTACTTCAACAAAATATTGTTACTAACAGTCTGCATACGAATTGACTAAACGACAGACAACAAAACTTTTGTATGTTTTTTTTGTTGGTTTTATTATTTACCTATTGGTTATTTTAGTAACACTATAAACTGCAATATTAATTATACCTATAAGAAATAATTTGTGAGGGAAATAATAATAAAATCTTAATTGTTGTACACCTGTAGTTAAACCAAAACTCGATCCATTTTTTGTGCAGAATAAATACTCCACTGCATTCGAGTAACATCCCCGCCACCATCATTCCTATCCACGGTGGCGGTGTGTCGCCTAAAACGGATACCATTCGCCCAGAAATTGTACACAATACGTACAATAATATAACTAATAACAAGTTATCTAGGCCAGAAATTGGGTTTTCGAAAATCTTTTTTCTGACACTCATCCACAAATACGAAAATAGTGTCACTGTAATTATTGAGTAGATGCCATTGGTAACATGGTTACATTTTATTCCATAAAGCCAATTATTCTTGAAGTACGTATTATGTTCGATAGGCTCCATTTCGACGTTGACATCAAACTCTTGAATGGTTTGCTGCGTATGTTCTGTCCTGTTTGATTCAACTAAAGCCCCACAAACCACTCTACCTATTGTAAAAATAATAAATACATTATAAATAATTACACTAGATAGGTATAGGTAGGTAAATTGTATTAATTGGAATGTCTGCAAAAAATACAACTTTTCATATTTGAATTTATATGTTATTGATAATTGTATAATATTATTATTCCAATGAAACATTTTTTTGATTACACGCCAATCGTTTATCGGTAAATTTAAATCAATTTGATCGCCGGGTGAACAAGAAGTGAACTCTGTTATTACTTATTCATGATCTTGCCAAGAAATTTCACTGTATTTGTGGTATATTTAGTCATCTAATTAAGTTGTTAAAAATGTACTTAAAATACTTAAAATACTTTAAATTATTTTTATACCTAATAAATTAATGACCATCCAATAAAGATTTTATCGTCTGTACCTACTACCTACGTATAAATCTCAATCTGTACTCTAAATGTATGATAAGTATAAAAGAAACTTAAATAAACAGACAGTGACTCACCGCCGCTCTGCTGCTTCTGCATCGGAGGAATAACCATTTCATCTTTGCAGTTCTCGTCACACATTTGTAATGATAAAGTACACTGCAAATACAATACACTACAGTATGTAATATACTAATATGTATGATGTAAACTATATAATAGAAACGATAACTAATTAAAAAATTTTTTATAAGAATCAATAAATTTACGATTATTTAAAAAAATATGTTTAAAAAGCAGAATTCACCTAGGTATGTAAAATTTTTAAGTTTGAACAATTCAGTTGTCTTAAAAAATGTAATGTTGTCTTTATACAATCTATTTAGAAATGCGTTCTCCTCAATACCTACTTCTTTCATCAAACTTACCACCTCTTCTGTAGTTCTGTGTTACGACGATTGATATCTATAATAGGTACCAAATAAATACCCATAGGCCATAGGTAATCAATGGCGCTATGACAGTTATTTCTCCAATTTCATTAAAGTGATGCACTTAAAAGTGTTGGTATGAAGTTAAGACTTTAATAAAATAAACTATAGTCTGTGGATTATCAATACCTAATAAATAATGTACTTAAACTCAATGTTAAAAATTAAATATCATGAAATACTGATGTGAAGGTCATGTTAAGTACCTTCTTTTGGTTGCAAAAATTTTTCACCAAATAAAATACACAGTACATAAATATGCTTTGCGAAGGTATTGATGTATTTTTTATCACCGAATGAAAGGGTTCATTTAAATTATTTTCAATATACAATATATAACACAAATATAATTGGTAGGTACATTATGAAGGTACACATTACATAACATACAATTTTACAAAATCGTAAAATAATTAGCTTATATATCAAATTATACTATATAATTGTATTACTATACTACACATATGATTGTTATAATTTATTATGGTAACCTCAATTTCATTGGAGTGATAATGTTAAAAGTGTAAGTAGACTTTAAACTTCAGTTAGGTAAACTAAGTTTAATAATACTTTAAACTTCTAAATTAATCTTCGTAGATAATAGATAGAGTGTGAATTAATAATTTATTAAAATATACATTCTATGAATAATGACTAAAGAATTTAAAAAAAAAAGTTAATTTTAACCAATCCAAAATAGTTAAATTTTCAAAATTGTTGTCCGTCATACGATTCTTTCATACCCCCAGCCATAATGATGATTCACATCCAAAGTATAAGTTAGTATAGCCATAAAACTTTCCTTAAATCGCATAAGAATAAATGGTATTTGAAAATATTATCTATAAAATATATATTCCGAAAATAAGTATTTTAATCAAATGATAATTCAATGAAAATGGGAATGAATGAGTGTAGCATGTTTGGTGAATACATTGTTTAATGTACATAAATTAGTTACCGCTTATCAGCTACAAGACAGTAACATTTTACTTTGAAATAATAATAAATGCCATTTCCATACAAAAAAAAAATCGCTTACCAATTACCTATGTTTTTCTTTGTGCAATTACCGAATTTTAAATTGAGATAATGTAAAGTTATTAACGCATAAGTCCATTAGCATAAGTCTATTGAACTTAAGCCCGGTGACTAAGGCCATTAGCTGTTGTAGGGGTTATGAACTGTGGTAGGGGTAAGGTTGGTACTATAGGTTGTTTTTGCGATTGTTTTTGGGTTGTTACAGTAGGTAGCAAACACGTGTATGTGTGGTAAGGTTTTTAACTACCTACTAGGAACCCGGGTGGTCACCCATCCGAGAGCTAGTAGCTGGGGTCGTTACTTACTCCCAGTCGCATTTCGCGACTGGCAGCAGCCAACGCGCCATGCCAAGCCACTATTTTTATTTTACATACCCTGTAATCGTGGATTCACCATGTACAGTGTTGTGCGTTATCTAGATAATTTTATCTATAGATAAAATATAATATAATATAATGGACGAATTATCCAGTTTTGCGATATTGAACATATTGATCTGATATATAGGCACTGTCGATATAATTTACTATAAGTAGGTACTTATACTATGTTATAGCTTTTAGACTGTTTCATAAATTATTAATGCAATATCCATTGTGACAAATATGCACTGAGAACTGACACAGATACGAATTATATATATTTAAAACACTTACAGTGTCCATGTCAATAAGATTTTTTTATAGTTTTTTTTAAATCAGGAATGTACCTATGTAAATTTTTTTTATTTATATATGATAATTTATTTTTATAAGAGATATACAATCTATGCCCAAAGGTATAATAAGAATATATATGCTACAAGCAATTAATACATTAAGAAACGGCGAGGAAAAAATCCATCCGTAAATCGCACTTCCAGGATTATAATTTAATTTATGAATGCTTGAAAAATAGATATATTTATTTTGAGTGTAACAAGTGTGTATGTGAAACTATTAAATTAATAACTAAACGTACCATAAAATAAAAAGCACTATATTTAAATATACATTTATCATATTATTATTATAGAAATTACAAGGTTTAAATACGCTACCTACATAACTCTATTATAAATCAATGTTGTATATTTGTAACAAGCATTATATCTCGAAAATTAAATATAACGGCTACATTTTTGGTCATAGATAGTAGATACAATAATACGATTTACACGAACATCTATATTTTGAAATACAATAATGAATTAGTATTTAGTAATAAGGAATATCACACAAAGTACCAAATTATTCATATTATATCATCAGGCATTAACATAGTCATTTATCAGGCAACAATTTATGACCATAACGGCGAACAACGAATGCCCATAGAGTAGCAGTCGTCAGATAGCAGATTATGGTTACGTTAAATAGCCGACTATCAAATTCTGTCTTTTCTTTTCCAGTTCTACGTTGAAGGTACAAAGGTGCATGAACTGCCTACAAAGAAAAAAAATTATATAAATAACTATAAGCTCTGAGTCTTTAATGTATTATTATATGTCATATGGTATAATATTAGTGACCGGTGGTCTTGGAAGTTGGAAGGGAAGGGAAAGAAACACCGGAATTCCAATGCTAATTAACCAGATAATATTATTACTTCATAATATAGGCTATTTTCAGTACAAAAATAAAGTTAAGCAATGCTGCGATCACACATTTTTCGCCCGGGAGTAAAAAAAAATTGGTTCCCCCAAAAAGGGCCTACCCATGGGGAATATGGTAGATAGATCCTCGTGAACTTTTCAAATTATTTAAATCGAAGAAAAGAATTTTGCAACAATGTTCAAGTTTTTTAAAATATTGTTTAATAATTTCATGAGCCAATATGACCCTATACACTAGGCATTCTCATACCTTTATAGAACATAGATTATAGTTGTTAACACTTTGTTCTGCGAGTGTCACAACTAAAATATGAAATGTCTATTCCTTCTTGTTGTCGTGGTCGATATCAATGTATCATTGTATATTAGTTAAATATGTCATTTTTTGTCTATTGGTGTGCATAAGTGAAATGCGTACACATTACACTCACACATACGAGCAACGTACACTACTGCAATAGTTGTATTGAGAGGTGCAAGTAAATTTGTTTGGCTATTATTTATGTACAAAAATCTCCATCCCCTCCCCCCAATTTATCAAATGAACATGACTGCGACCAGTCAATATCTGAACTAAAATTCGAGGTGTTACGATGCCGGCACAAGAACTTAATATTTTACTAGACATTACTGTTTAGAGTTTACCAATATAATTGGCAATTACCATTAACGAAGAATTTGGAAGCCAAGAGAAAACGATAAATATAATTTCATAACAGTTGACTCCAGATCCCCAAACTGAACACGTTGTGATTAGTATTCGAATCTAAGACACATATATTAATACGAATAATTAATATTTTTTAATCTAGTAAAGTTTATGGTTATTAGGTATATAATTTATTTTGACTGTAGTATTTCGTTTTTTCCGTTAATGATAAATTACACTTACAAAATTCAACACGAGTATGACTGGTATTATAATGAGTATCATGTTAACATCAACATATTGGATTTTGAATCCTGTGCCCATAAACCCAAAAAATAAAGGTTGAAGAGCTTTCCAGATGTATTTGAGTACTTTTAGAACATCTCGAATTTGATTCTGGTCTTCACTGTTGTCGTTATTAAATATCATCGTTGAGGTGTTTCGGTTTATTTCTTTCATTTTCCATTTCCAACCAATACCAGCAACTAACGACGATATTCCACAAGACAATGAAAAATACCACCCTGTCTCATAAAAAAGGTTGATGACAGGGGTTAGAATTCCGCCGGAGAAAAGTAGTGCTACTCTCTTGGTAGTTTTGAGTAAATTAAATATCTAGACAAAAAAAAAAATGAGCTGAGGATTTCACTATAGGATTATAAGATTTATTTTATTTTAAAATTGAAATACTTATAATTTCAAAAAAAATTCAAATTTTATTTTAATATATGCACCACAACAAGAAAATATAGATTTCGTTGTGAATAATAAGTTGTAATTTTATAAAAAAAATAAATGTATTGTACTTTAAAGGTAGGTATTACAGTGTTTTGGTTTAATATATCATGTTTATCACGGCATAATATAGGTAGGTACTCAAATATCAACGATTTATACAAATAATGCTTATTATTTAATAACACTAGTAATTACTAATTAGTAAGGCCCGGAAGTTCATGCATTTGCATATTTTTACTGAATGGACTAAACAATTGCTGATCAGCTACAAATTTGAATTATACTTGTACAAATCCAAATACATCATTTTATTTTGCATATAATTGAATGTTTTGAGATTTTTTAATGCATTTGCATATTTTACAATTTTTTTTTGTTATTAACTGCATATTTGAGTCAAATATTATGTAATTGACAAAATAAATAACTTCTAAATGACCTATTAATAAATAAAATAACCACACTTCCACGGCAGCCCGATAACGGCTAATAGACAATATGTTTATTTTTAGAAAAGTTTTAATATTTTCCATCACGATGACGATACCATCTTCTTCAAAATTATTGAATGTAGTCAGTTCTGGATTTCTCGTTTATGTTGTTTGATGTGTTCCTTGAGATATATCGAGTGTCCGTCTTTTTTTATTCAATTATGTTAAAATGCCGAAAGTAAAACATCAGCTACCAATAGAGGTAAAAACTACGTTATACTGAATTCGGTGAACATATTTTCGCGTTCGACAAGAGTGTATTATTTTGTAAGATATGCGAGGTAGAGGTAAAGTGCGAAAAACGTTTCATCGTCACTTGGCACTTAAGTACTGAGAAACATATAAGAGCCTCTAATTGTCAAAATAAAAATACAACTTAACAGCTAATTACTTCTCCGACAACACGAATATCTGATTTTTCTAAAGATTCTGTGAAACATTTTTAAAATTAAATATTCCATAAGAAAAATTAGGAAATCTTCATCTTTGTTCATTCCCAAAAAAATACGTTAATAAGGATATACAATCTGTATTCTGTATCTACACTGAGAAAAACTTATGTCAATGTTTGCTGCGAAGATACGATGAATGGATAAGAAATCAAATACTTAATAAAAAAAATCTGGGTGTCTATAGATGAGACAACGGATGTAGAGGGACGATATGTTGCCAATGTGATAATTGGAACCTTACTAACTGACGGCCCTGTAAAATTGTTTTACTTGCATAGGAAAAAGCAAAACACACAACAATTTGTCAATTATTTATTAAAAATCTTTTTTCTTTGTGGCCAAATGGAATTAAACATAACAATGTTATTTCATATATAACTGACGCAGCACCATACATGATAAAAGCTGCAAAATCCATTCAAGCATTCCGTTCGAAAATGGTTCATATAACCTGCCTCGCCCATGGTTTGCATCGTGCATGCGAGAAAATTCGTGCCGAATTACCAAAAATTGATGAACTTATTTTGAATATGAAAAAAGTGTTCTGAAAGGCTCCAGCTCGCGTTGAATTGTTCCGAAGAGAAGCCCCAGAAACGCCATTGTCTCCTTCTCCTATTATTACGCATTGGGGAACCTGGTTAAAAGCCGCAATGTACTATTGTGAGAATTTCAAAACCATTAAAAAAAGTCGTACATTTATTAAATGCGGATGATGCGCTTGCTATTGGAAAAGTTAAAAAATTATAATGTTAGTTATAATCAACTGTATATTATATAATACAATACATTTAGATGAGTATTCAATACACCTTGTTTTAATTAGACAAACCGTTCTATAAAATAAGAAAAAAATATTTTATCAACTCACATATTTACGAGTATTGTTGACTTCGTGATCATTAGTTTCATCATAATTTTGTTCATTATTTACCATTAAACAATCGGGGGGTGATGCATGAATCATAAATATTCCCCATAGAATTCCAAACACAATGTCAATGAGTATTTTCTTGGATATATTTGTAAAATCTTCTGACTGATCTATTAAGACATAACAATTAGTACACATCAATTAGATAAAATTTTAACTATACTTGCTAGCTTTAACTAAATACTAGTATACTTGTATACTGCATAACCTGCAAAAATAATATTAAAATATTGTTTACACGAATATTTTTAGCCAAAAATGTTTCAATAATAATTTTTCAATTAGAATAAATTGTTTACGAAGCTAAATATTTATATAATTGTTGAGGACTGAGTCCCTTCAACCTCCTCTTCCCGTTTTTCATACATACCTAAGTATAATTAAAGAAATGTTATCGATGTTATGGTTGCTTTTTTTATTTATTTTATCATTTACATTGATTATCTTCAAAAATCTTAAATGATTAAATTTTAAGCCATATGGTTTTACTTTACTTTGAGTTTGAGCTAATATACGTTAGTTATCCAAACCGTAAATAATTATTAAAAATGTTAAGATTTTTATCTTCCACTTTTGAATTCATACACAAACATATTATACAGATTACTGATAGTTATAATTTTTCAACCCAAATCAAACTAATATTCAATAATTTAATTAAAAATCAAAATATATTATCTTAATATATGTATATGTAAATTCTGCAAATTTGTAAACCTATTCTAAAATTATGTTTTTATAGGTGCTAACCACTAGGATAAAATGTTTATTGGTTTAATACGTACGCTCGGTGCATGCAAAGTAATTGATAATCACTGCAGATAAATTTACTATGCTGGATGTGGCATGAAGCAAAGTGTAAACATTATTTTCATCAAAGTAACCCAATCCTTTCAATACAGACATACTTGGCATAAACAAGATGGAATTAATGCTCAACATGTTGAATCTAAGTAAAAAAGTATCAATTTCTACAGTTTGTGTTAAAAATTTAAATGATAACTATTGTTTACGTCACTAAATTGTTCATTAATATTAAAATATAGAACCAAAAATATTAACACTTATTTAAAAAAATTTAAAGAATAAGAATAAAACAAAATATCTAGTTAATTTGTTTATACACATAATGTGTACAATGTACATGTATAAGCGTATTTTAAAAGATTGAAAAAAACTTAAAAACCACTTCTTAAAGAACATTATTTAGAAATTCTCAACTATTTTCAAATATGTATCAAAGAAAATTCGAAGATAAAGGATTTCATTGTGATAATTATTGATTGAAGATTGAAACTTTTAACAAACGTTCAGTCTATTTGGAACAAAAAATGATATCGATAATTATAAATTATGTATTAAGTCTATAACTTTAAATATTTGGAATAATTCTAAAGGACCAAAAGTATTATTGTACATTGTATATAAGTATACAGCGACATATGAACATAGATAAATATACCAGATTACCGGTATTCAAATCAAACATAAAAAAGTGCAGAAACCATGGATGATACATTTTTTAAAACACTAAGATTTATGAAAATAATATCTGTAATTGGATAAAATATATAAACAAAAAATGCATTTACTCACAAGAACAGATGTGCCAATTTAAACTTGTTTTCAATTAGAAAATTATAATTAAAAATAATAGCACTTAAAGCTACAATTTGAGGCAAAAATACTAATTTTAATACAGTGAAGCCAATACGGCGTAACTTCCACACATCAAGTTCCAGTGCACATATGATTAAAATCACTGATTCTGTAAATTCACTAATAAAAAAAAAAAACGTGAAAGTAAACTTTAAATTGACAATTTTACAAAACTAAAATAAATACATTAAAGTATATATGAGGAGAACAGCTTGTGAGGGAGAGTATATTTTAAAAACATATTACTATTACGCACCTAAAGTATAACCAAAAGAAATGTCTGAATTCGTCGAGTCTAATCTTGTTTTCACTACTTTGAAACGCCATACCCACCAATATCATTCCTACAAATGATGGAATATGGATTACTGTGGATGCAATTTGACCGGCAACTGCACTCGCCAAGTACAATGATATAATTAATATTAAATTCTCAAATTTTGAAGGTTGTTTGTTGGAAATCCCATCCGCAACGTTTGTTAACAGCCACACAAATGTTATAGCTAAGATTGTGTACGCCGTATCAGTAAGTCTAGAGTATAAGTTCCACTCAGGGTAATAAGGCCAATTTCCGATAAACTGATTTTTGTTGAGTTCCATGTTGGCATTCATGCTAAAATCCTTACATCGTGGCTGCTCTTGTTCCTGCCCAATCGCTGTTGTTATAACGTTTTCATCCACTAACACTATACCTATTGTAAAAGAAAAAGAAAAATTGGGTGATCAGACTAAAAAAGTGAATAGTGCTCTGCTGTTAAGTAGGTATAATGTAGTCTATAATGTCTGAGTTGTTTAAATTTTAAAGTCTATAATGGATGTTTAAAATTTGAAATGCTTATAAGTTATAAAAAGCTCAGAAATATTTTGAAAATTATATGATATACAGAAAATGCTAATATAAACATTCAGAGAAAAAATCATCAATATATGGACATTTTTTTTTTTTTAAGTAAAACCACTAAACAACGATTTTCTAAAAAACTGGTTTTGCACAGATATTCCCGTTTTTCTTTGATTTGTTTTTCCAACAAGTTTGAAAACTATAAGAAACTTTCAACTTTAACGTTTACAATGCACCAACTAGATGATCATTTAAACCAAAAAAGATACTGAAGTTGACAATCCAAGCATTATTTTGACTACTTTTCATGTACCAGTGTCCATACTGGGACATAATTTTAAAAAAAACCCTTACGGTAAAATCAATCACTTCGCTCGTTAAATCTAAAATAAATAAATTCGTAAATTGAATTATGTTTATATACTTAAATCGAACCTATACTATTTATTATATTGAATTTATTGTATTATATTTATTTATTATTTATTTGTTTTTATAGAAAAATACAATATTTATTTAAAAATAGATGAAACAAGAAACAATTAAGAGAAAAAAATTTCGTCAATCATTTATTTAAAAGAACGTCTAAATTTTTACTAGACTTCAAAACTTAACAGTAAAATTACAATTATTGCAAACGAGCATCACCTTCACACACGTCTTGCTCATCATATACTGGAATGTGTATATATTCAGGTTGATATATTATCGTCTCTTGCTGCTGGTCCGAACGACATCTCCAGCTATTTGCATCACTAATTTTCATCCTGTAGAAAAATTAATGAGTAGACATACGTAAATCTTAATAATATGAAATCTATAAAAATTGGTATAACGTTCAATACGTTATTATAGTGATTTTACCAATAGGTAAATATTACTGAGGATGCTACACACGCATGTGTAGTTTCCGACTTACAAATGTTGGCACAACATAATAAAGTACCAAATTTAAGTTCAGTCATAGGCAGTACTACAAAAGGGAAGAGTAGGCAACTGCCCCCCTGAGAGACCGTACCTATATAATTTTATAATTCCTGAAATCTCGGTTTCCTAACTCTAAAAAAATATTTTTTTATTGTATTTTCAATACGAAATTTGTTGCTGTAACATACAAGAGCGACGGGCTCAAAATCATAGATAATGAATCGCGGAAAATAAGACCACGGAAAAAATACCCAGAAAAAAAATTAAATATAAATGTGAACACATGTACCTATACTCATGTCTCATATTCCTAATTAGTAACCACCGTGTGGCATGTACCCATAACAAAATATAATGTATTAAAGTGAAAATAATGTCATAAATTATTATCATGTGCAATTTTTGTATAAATATAGTGTAATACCTAAGATGGTATACTTATACCCCTGATGTTTTTTTGACTTATAATTTAGTACTATATAATATAAACTATGTATAGATGAGTTCAATTTATGTTTAAATGTTTTTTTCTATTAAAAGTTGTTTTTTATATTTAATTAATAATTAAGCATAAGCCATATCCAAACATAAAATTATGTATAACTGAAATTTTTCATTGAATAAGTAGGAAAAAAAATTTCTTATTACTCGAGTCTTTGCATATAAAATTGCCTAAATTGGCATAATGATTTATGAATAATTAATAAGTAATAACTAATTCAAAGTAGATTATAGGTACATGTGTTCACATTCATATTTAATTTTACTCTGGGCTTTTTTTCCACCTACAAAATTAATTGTTTTCAATAATTTAAGTGACAATGATCCAGATGATCATGGACGTGTGGAGTTATAAGATAATAAAATAAATAAATAAATTCATGTTATTTTTTTTAATATTAGGTATTACTGGTGTTAGGTACTTGCCTAAAAATGAGGACTAATTTAGTTACACAAACAGTTAAAATATTTTCTGCCCCCCCCCCTACCAAGAGGATCTAGTACCTATTAGTCTATTAGGCAAGAAACTAATACGATTTTTACCGTTAAGTTATGGTGGTCAATTCATTCTTATGTAAAAGGTAACAACATAAAACCGGTTTTACTGATCAAAAATTTGCTATGTTATACAGTCGTAAGACAGAAACAAAGCATGCGGGTAGTACTCAAGGGGTAGCACCCTCTTAAGTCGAGGACACGAAATTGAATAGTTTTATGATTCAGTATTTTTTTTTTTTTTTATTAACATAAAGGCTTCAATTACACAGATTATTAGCCTATTCAGTATTATTAAATTAGTTTTAGGCCACAGTATGATTTTCAAATAATTAAATTAATGTCGGTTTTTTGCCATCTATGTGTAATATAAACTCAAAGATGCATAATAAATATACTTTTTTTCTTGAACATTGTACAAAGTTTTACAATTAAAAAATAATAAATACATTATTTAACTTAATTTAATATATTGCTCATAATAATAAATTATTATCAGAAGATTTAAAATCAAACCTATAAACTCATATGTCCATAACATAATAATTACACATTTATTAAGACTGTCTATATTACCTCAGATATTTGATCATATTAAAGATGACTTGACTTTTCAATTTCTTCCCCAAAAATTCAAAAAAATAATATCGTTCCCAATGATGTATAGAAATGCTATAGATCTAGACCAAAAATTAGACACATTTATTAAAATTATTAGTACATATAGATCAAATAAAAAAAAGTAAATAGTACTTTATATATTTTAAAATTTGAATAATACAATAAAATTTTGGAATGATTTTTTTTAATTTGAATCAATTATGTGGAAATGGGTTCCCTTACTTCAAGCCCAACAGACATAAAGTCACTGTCTTCGCAGTTCGTAAAGGGCTATTTATCTGTGATCAATAATATTATTTTTAAAGTTAAGTAGATAGTATACGTTATTAGGTGCCACTGCCTATTCCGATTACAATTTCATTAGAGTGATATTGTTAAAAGCGTAGATATGTCGTTTAGACTTTGATAAACCGACGAAGCGTATCAATGGACAATGCTTTTATAATACTTCTAACTTAATTAATTAAATCTACATTGCAGTAGTAATAGCTTAAAAATTTAATAAATGTATGATTTAAAATATATATCATATCTGATAATACCTAATCATTCAAATCAAACAACTGCCTTCTCATAAACCACCAATATATTAGAATAGAAAATAGTAAAAAATGGTAGTAGATAATGATATGAGGATTTGTTATTAGTACTTATTACTTAGGTCTTAAGAATTTGATGACTATTTATAAAAATAAAATATATTAATAATGGCCATTGGAAATTGTGAGCTACTTAAATTTAACTAAATGTTTTTGTGGAACAATATTATGTTGAAGTGTGTTAGATAAACATAACGATTATAATGAACAGGATCATTTACCAAACATTCTCCCTCTTCTTCTTTAGAAACATTTATTATTAAAGAAATAATACAGTTATTTGAAATCTGATTTTGAAATCTTAGATTCTGAGCGGATCGATTTAGTTTTTATTATTTTTTTTACAATTAATTACAATCGTCGATAAAAATATTTTCACTCGGTCAAAAATCTTGAAAATTTAAAACAAGAAAGAAAGTAAGAATTATCATAAACTTTTATGGTAGCAGTTAAAAATATTAAACAATATTACATATTAACATATTCTTATTTCTTCTTCTTAGGGTTAAGCTTAAGACCTTACAGTCTCACAACCAAACTTCCATAGTAAAGATAAAAAAATAATAATAATAATGAAGATACATATGCATGATTTTTATTTTTATACAAATTGAAAGTTCTTTACACAATTTATGAAAATCTCGAAAATTTGTTGATTATTTTGTAATTCAAAATTTCAAAAATGTTAAATTTTTATAAGTCAGCATGAAAAATTTAAAACAAGGTTTCTTATAAGTAGATCATTTTGTAATCGAATCTATAAAGAGATTCACACATTTAATTATTTAATGAATTATTATTAAGGTCAAATTAGGACAAAATTTGATTTTTATACAAAGCTTAACGACTTTAGGTATTTTGTTATAATTTCAAAATACAATTCGTGCAGGCACTTGAGTTTTTTAAAGTATATTATAGTATTTTATACACACAATGAAGTTTTTAAATGCAATTATTTGGCAAAAATATTAGTGAAATAAATTACGTCAATAGTAATAATATCATAAAATGAACTTGCTAACCTGATTTCGTTTCCGTTTAAAATCGTTGTTCGTATAGATTCTATGTTTTTATATCATTGAATTTTTATCACATTTTTTACAGTCCCTCTAGACACATCACCACCATACAGCAGAACGGTACACACTTGCCCAGTTGCCCACTTTTAATACTATTTAAATATTAAAATGCCGCATATTTTTGAATACTTGAGAATTGTTGTACCATTGTACTGTCCTGTGGCCCATAGCAAGACTTCAATTTTTTTTTAAATGAGAACCACCTTTTTTGCTCTAAAATCTAAATTCTTCAGCTAGTTATTTATTGTATATGTTGATTTATCTAAATCGAAATTCGAAAGATTAGTTTCTAGTTATTAACAGTTATGTATACCTACCAAAGATGTAAGATATTATATTTAAGCACATAATATAAAATAAACTAAATAATATTTATGTCTTCTATAATTATTTTTTCGACAAACACTTTAAGTAGGTATATTTTCACATAGTTCAGTACATTTTCAGCACAGAAAACCAACTTTGCTAGAGTATACTTATGTTTCAGAGACCATTTTCCGTAAAATATTAAACATTTTTTTCAATGTAGTATTTTAGGATGAAGTTTTAACTTTCGAACATAGTGAATACATGTAGTTTTCATTCGTAGTAATCACTGGCAATACATTATGAGGAAAAATAGGTACCTGTCCACGTCAGGTATAAATATATTTTTGGCCAGGGAGAAAGGAAAAAAGTTCTGTCATTGCCCTGTCCACTGTCTGTGAATATTACAAGGGTCTTGTGTCTTAATTTTTAAGATTTTTACGACATTTTAAAAATCATTCATATTATTTCTTTTAACGCAAATCCAAATTTGTATAGTAAATTTAAACTGTTATGAACTATATTAAATTAGTAACGTGACATGCAACTTTATTATTGCTGTAAACAGTATGTACCTATTCAAGTTTACGAATTTCCCAGATAACTATCTTTATTCTTTACAATCAACACATGGCTATAACCTATAATATATTATGGTATTTTTCTTACTACATTATAGTATATTATACTGCAAACTAGTATTTATAAATTCCATTATGCCAATATCAGTCAATATTAGCTACTGAAGCTTAGAAATATCGTTATTAACTAAAAAATATTGATATCAATTTTTATTGGAAAAAAAAATTTTTTAAGTTTACAAATGCTCAAAAAAATTAAACATGTTTACCATTCATTTAGCAAATGCTAATCCGAACATTTTAGAAAAAATTGTATATATTTAAGGTCATTTAACTTTGAAATATAACAAAACAAGAAAATTGATTTTATGATAAACTAATTTTAGTTTAAAATTTCAGTTATTCCTCAATTGTTTTTTGGTTTTTCCGAATTATTAAAAAAGTACTGGGCATTTTTAGCTTTTGACTGCCCCCCCCCCCCCCACCAAAAAAAATTACCGACTAGGTTTACTTTCGAACCATAAATTTAAAATAAAATTAATTAATTTACAAATTTAAAATAGAAGAAATTATAAAGCTCCAAAAGGTGACGTTAGACAAAAGAAAAACACAAAAATCATTGCAAAATCATTAAATTCATCAAGAAGTTACATTAATATGAAAATATATAATATGTTGGATGAATTATAAATTACATATCATGAGTTTGTTCGTAGTATTATTAATTAAATAAAACAACAAAATATAATTATCATAGAAATAAAACAATTAAATAAGTTTCAATCGACATTCAAAAAATGAATAGGTATAATTTTAAAACAAACTAAACAGTACAAAAAACTTGATCATTCATTAAAAATCTCAAATATGAGTCGCAAATATAAAACTATGTGATGCCAAATCAAAAGTTTGAATATAACTACGTATATCGTGTATAAAATCTCCAAAATTGTTTTACAATGATTAATATAACATAGGTACCTACATGGCTATATAAACTGATCATTCATTATCAGCTTGATTATTATTATTAATATTAACAGTAGTAGACAACAAATTTGGACCATAGTTTAGAACAGTGAATGATCCTAGAATAGAAGTCATCAAGTAAGAAAGTATAGTAAAATTGAATATTTCACGAATCAAATCAATGTCTGGATGGCTTTCAGCTCCAGAAGACATCAAATACGTTGTCGCTAAACATGCCTAAATAGAAAGAAAAATTTAAAAAATGGGTACTTTAATATCAATTAATACCGACATTAAATTCAATATTTTTAATTCTGGTGTAAAAACTAGCATTATATTTACAACACAAATTACCATTAAAGTAGAATTAGGTAGCCACGCAATATTGATGAATAACAATTCGTTACGGTTGAATCCACATCCCCGAAGCGAATACATTGTAAATATTATTCGAATCTAATGTACAACATAACGTATTAGTGTAATTTCTCATTAGCATGTTGTTACTATACAAGAGCTAAAGTCATCATTTTATTAAAATCATCATTATAGCCAATGCCCAATAGGCATAGGTACTTAATATGATAGTACATTTTCTTTAACGTTTTTGAAGCAATTGAAATTGGGCATCTAACACTTTGGTAAAAAATAAGTTGGTTATATTATACATACCTGCTATAAAATAGTAAAAATACTGAAATAATACTAAATACTAAATAGTCGATAGAATTTTGTAAATTTCAAATAATTTTTATTTTAATTCCACTCTTATTATATTATTTTTAATGTCAAATATAATATTATACTAAGTAGGGTGCGGCCCACTATCCCAACCATAATGACGGCTCTGCTCTGGCCATAGATGCAGTTAGTTGGAGGCTAGAGGGGGGATTACCCACCAAAATATGTATATTTAATGGAAAACTTTAAAAAAGAGTCAGAGTCATTAATTTGTTATAGAAACTGAAATTATATGAATATTTTTACCGAGAAACGGTTTATCGTTGACGAAGATTGGGATGGTACCAATGTCCAATTATAACTAATAACTATATACTTTGTTATTGACTTCCGAAAATATTTTGTTTTCATAATTTTATAATGAGACGATACCTAATTAGTAATTATTACCTACTAGTATATCGTCAAAGATCATCGGGGGGCGGTACGCTATAAACACAATATGTCAGTAGTACTCAGTGTAAATAAATACATACGAAATAATAATTAATACATTTTTGACATTTTTGACAACTCAATACAATTATTATATTAGGTAAACGAAAATAAAATTATTTTTTTTGTGATAAACTACAAATTACTCTAACACAGATAATATCGATAGCCATGATTAAACACAAAATATAAAATTGCACGGGAGCCCGTTGTCAACGCGTAGATCGTAGTAGACCAACGATGTAGAGGGACGAATTTAATGCAACTGCGTGCCATAAACGTGTGACGGGTGGGCACGGCAATTGGTACTACGAGGCACTCAACTATATAGTTAAATATAGTTTA